TGAGATATGAGTGTGGTGAGATTTAAGTGTGGTGAGATAATAGTGTGATGAGATAATAGTGTGATGAGATATTAGTGTGGTGAGATATTAGTGGTGAGATATTAGTGTGGTGAGATATTAGTGGTGAGATATTACTGTGATGGAATATGAGTGTGGTGAGATATTAGTGTAGTGAGATATTAGTGTGATGAGATAATAGGTTCGATGAGATAATAGTGTGGTGAGATAAGAGTGTGGTGAGATATTAGTGTGATGAGATATTAGTGTGGTGAGATATTAGTGTAGTGGGATACTATTGTGGTGAGATTTTAGTGTGATAAGATATTAGTGTGATGAGATAATAGAGTGAGGAGATAATAGTGTGATGATATATGAGTGCGGTGAGATATTAGTGTGGTGAGATAAGAGTGTGGTGAGATATTAGTGTGGTTAGATATTAGTGTGGTGAGATAATAGTGTGATGAGATAATAGTGTGATGAGATATTAGAGTCATGAGATATTAGTGTGGTAAAATATTAGTGTGGTGAGATATTAGTGTGGTTAGATATTAGTGTGGTGAGATAATAGTGTGATGAGATAATAGTGTGATGAGATATTAGAGTCATGAGATATTAGTGTGGTAAAATATTAGTGTGGTGAGATATTAATCAGATGAGATATTAATCTGTGGTAGGCCATTCATTGCCTGCCTCTCATCACCATAGGGTGTAGCTCAATAGTCGGGACACACACCGGTAACCAGTCAACACTACACATCTCGCAACACTAATTCCGCAGTCATCGCACTAATTCATCGCACTAATTCACACTAATTCACACTAACGCAACACCACTCCACCACTCACCATCATCCAGCTCATGCAGCACGCCATCTCCAGGAGCACCCGCGGCATTAGCAGGAGCGCCCGTGGGATCTGTGTCTGTGGCAGGCATGTCGGGTAGCTTGTTCTTTCGCTTTAACACTCTCTTGCGGGGCGTACCTGGTTCATCGTCTTCTCGTGGCTGTAGTGATAAGGGTGTGGGTTGAGTATGGTATGCAACGCGTGTGGATGGTGAGTCAGCCGTTACCAACACATACAGCGTGAAGAAACTTGGTTTATATGAAACGGTACAGGGCTTTAGGGTTTTAGAGTTTTGGGGTTTTAGAGTTTACGAGCTAACGCATACAACGAACAAGTATAAGTGTGCGTACTAGCTTTAGCCCATGTTCGCTGCGGAGATACGATCGTACCTACTTTCATTCTGAACTATTTCTACACCGGTGCGGGCACAGCCTTTACCTTCTTCAGACCATACTCAGCTGTCATGCTGTCACTTCCGTACACATCCCTAACATACGCCCGTGCCTCGGTTCCATAGACTGTGTGTGCTCTTAAGTGAGTCTGCAGGGGTTGGTACTTTTACTGTGCACACTGCCGGTGTCCTACTATCACTTCCATACCCATCCATGACACACGCACTGGGTTTGGAGTTGTAGAGGTTAGATGCCATGGCATGCATATCCATCGCTTACCGCACAGCTCTCATGTGGTACCTGTGATGCTGGTAGCCCAACGTTTGTGTTGTCGTTTTCCATGCTCTTTGTCGCATTTGTGTGGTCAAGTGCGGCGTGGAAGTCGTCTGCATCATCGCCATTGTCATCGTTAATCATGTCGTTAATTAAATCCTCGCCGTTTTCGTCGTCCGTGTCCAGAGCCATAGCATCTGCAGAGTTGAGTCGATGTTGGTGAGTGGCAGTCATTCCAGGATGAGTGCAGGGTGTATTGTGCGTGTGGGTTTACTAAGGCTGGTGGTTGGCTGAGTCATTGATTGAATACTTGAGTACATTGCTGAATGTAAGACGCCATTTTCGACGTCGACGACTCCCAACTATATATATGTGTGTGTATATACATTTATATATATATGCTCATATATATT